TATATGTATATATATATATATTTATAAGATATAAATATATAAATATTTATATTTATAAATAAATTTGTATATTATATATAAATATATTTATATTATTTATTTATATTTATTATATACATATTTATATATATTTGGTATTCATGGACTTCAAATATATATATATACATATATATATTTGGTATTCAGTATTTATAAAGTCAGATTCAAAAAAAAATATTTAATTTCCAAGCGATCTATCTGTGACCAAATAGCCCTATTGGGCAAATATATTTTGATATTAATGAAGTATAGGCAATAGTATCAATATACCAACTTTTGTTGAAATATCTATTAACTGATGGTGAGAACCAAGCCAAAGCATTTTTCCCTACAGACATTAAATCAAGGATGGACTTGAGAAATGAAGAGATGAACAAGTAAAATATTAACCAAAACCGAGATGTGTCCTCTCTACCTTTCCACTCCCTGCTCTGAATAGTAAATCGTGTATATTATTGTTCAGGATGCTGAAGCAGGTGTATCTTTACATTGGAAGTGAAAGAAACATTGAACTCAATAAATTCCATTTCAGTTCATCAGTGATTTTCTCAACTTCTTTTTGAGTGAAAATAATTTTAAAAGCAAAGATAATTTTATTGCAATGCCTGTTAACTTCAGCAGGCAATTTTTGTTGGAGCACATTAAAATGATACTCCGTCTAATTGGAGAATTCATTTTTACTAGTTAAGTCCTATCCATGATGGAGACAATTGAGAATGATTTTTCAAGGTTTTGGGCAATACACTTTAAGGTATCTCAAGTATTTAGCATAATGAAGTTTAGTTGCATGATTCTCCATTAATAGTTATCTTTACACCCAGGTATGTGTCCTCATAAAAATTTAGGGAAAATTCCCAGTCTGCAGACTTTATCAGCATACAAAGTGATTGCTGTGTGAAGCTCCAGAGAATCCCAATTCATTTAACAAAAGAACATACACTCGTGCTTAATAATTCTCACTAGAGCAGCACAAAGCTGCATTCAGGACACTGGAGGAGATGCCTCCGACATAGATACAAACTATAATGAAAACGTGTGCAATATGCATGGGAGATGCGATTTTGCCTGCATCAGCACCGGTCTGTAAAATAAGGAATTCCTCAGACTAGCATTTTACCGTGCATCCTTCTCCTGCACTGAAACTCCTTTAAAATTAAAATTATCAAGAATTGCTGAAGAGTACTATGTTATATTGAATGAATCTTCCTTTTTTTTTTCCTTCCCTTCCAGGAACACAGTGAGATTTAATACGACTGTCATCGATATCATACTGTAACTTGACCCAGCCAATAACGTTGTCACTAACAGCCAACTTTGATGAAATAGCATCAAGCAAAAGGTCTACGTGCCCCTGAAATGTATCCTTAGCCCTGAGCTGAAGAAGTTGCTTCTGATGATCCTGACACTTGTCTTTGATTAATGAAACACTATATAAGGCTTATGTTCTTATAGAATATTCCACTTTGCCAGTATAGATAAGAATTGATTTGATGAGACCAAGCCTAGTTACAGAGATTATAAAAATTATTTTGTAATCTTTAGATAATTGTTATAAATCCAGGGTGTCAAAACAGGTGACTGGGCTTGGAAATGTTAGGGCATCTATACATAAAATCAATGCACCTTTCTAATGGAGCATTTATTTTTCAGGTACATGATGCCTACGCACATTTGTATAGTGGCTCATACATTTCCAAGACCTTGCAAGTTATTTTATCTTCACAAAAACTCTGCGAACTTGGTAAGTCATGACAATTGCTCCCATTTTTCAAGTGATAAGAAGGAGCCAGAGAGGTGAAACAGCTTTCCTGGAATCTGAATTTCTTCTTTCCGATCCATTCCCCTGACCTTACCTCACACTACTCATAAAGGCTCCTCTCTATAAGATGGGAAGCTCCATTAGTTTGTTGGGAACAAAACTATCATAACAGTTTTTACTCCACATAGTGTTTCTAATATAAAAACTGATTACTTCTGTATCAGAAACTGGCTCTGAACACACACACACACACACACACACACACACACACACACACAAATCTAAGATTTTACTCTCTGAAGCAGACCAAGCATGTATACTGGCCCAAATCAGAACAAGAACTTCCTTAACAACATTATGCAATTCTGGGCTTTTTTTATTGCTATTCCACTGAAAGTAGATTGTCAGAGCAATCACCCTAGCAAATTGAAATGGTATTTTAGCGTTTGAGACTCAGTGTCTAAAAATGATAAAAGCAGTGTTTTTGAGATTAGAGACAAAAGAGGTCAGCTTTCCTGAAATTCTTTACTCCTGACACGGGCCTGACTTCTGATTTTTCTATTTTAGGCTAAGCTCTAGCGAAGCCCAAGCCTTGTGCTCCTAGGCAAGCTTTTGTGCATATCACAATAGTATGAGTTACTGCTGACACAGCTGTCACTCTTGTTCTTTCTAGTATTTCTTCCACTCCTGCTGATGCCATTATGAAAAATAGTGCTGGCACAGCCTTAAAGTCACTTAATATCCTCTAATCTGTGGGACTAACTTATCCTTAAAATTTTGTTTGCAAGGAAGATATTAGTGATATACGTGGGAGCAACTTGTTTAGTTTCTTCTCATAGGTTTTTCGACTTTCGTATATTGAGGTCCTCTACAAACTAAACAAGGCTAATAAAAATCAAAAGCAATCAAAGATCAGAAAGTATTTATAATCTTTACAATCTGAGCATAAAGAGACATCATAAGACGTGTACCTCCTCGTTACTGCCTAATTAATTGTAATGGGGTTTATTCTTTCATTTATTAGTTTAATAAGGTGAGCCTTCTATACCACTGTACTTATGCCATCATTAATTCCCATTTCTTAATTATAAGATATGGATTTATTAGAAATAAAACCCTGTATCTTACCACCCCAAGGTCTTTAGACTTCTAGCTCATGGTCCATATTCTATTAAGAACAAAGTCCCAGGTGCATTATTTATTCTTTATGTTCATTTTCAATACATCTTGTAACTATGTTCTCCAGGAGGCCTACATTTATAAGTTACCTGATAAAAATGATGAAAGAATATAAAAAAATTACTCAGAGACAAAATCCAGTATAAGAACATCAAAACCTGGGATATGTTGCCATCCTAAAGCCATCAAAAGCTGTCAGTTTTCAGCCCACATATAATTCTGTTGATTACTTCTTAATCCAAGATGTATTTTTCATAATGATGAATAGGAGGGATTTTACGATAGCTGAATGAACTTAAAAAAAAGCGTACCTATATGAGCAGTGTGTCATTCATAATAAGGTCATTTTTTTTAATATTGAAACATAATGAAATTATAAATCAGCAATAATCCACAGCATAATGAAAATTAAATGAAAATTTTAAACAGAGTTGCTTGAAAGTCACCTAAAAATCAAAAGATATTTTGAGGGAATTGGGGGAGTATATTCAATATCCTTAAACATTTGTTTTAAAAATTTCACTTTTGTTAAAAGAATACTTTAAATAATTAATATCATATGGTATTGGTGATTGACTTTTCTTCCAAGTTCTTTAAAGGTATTTTCAATCATTTTCAATGCCATGATAAAACAGTTCAAGTAAGATATTTAAAATTGTGTTACATATACATACATAACTAGATACAGAGGGCTAAGCAAAATTATCTCATTATTTAGAGAAGTGAACCATGTTGCTTTTATAAAATAAAGATAAAGCTGCATGAATATAATTAAAACCTATCAAAATATTACTATTAAAAAAATATTACTATTGTCATGTCTCCTCTATGCAATATGTATGATCACATTTTTTACTCAGCAGAAGTTCGTTGAATTTATGGTAAAGAAGTTATATCATGACTTACAGAGACCTTCTCGTTTCACCTTGGTTTAAGTCCTCAAATCATACTCATAATTCTGACAGATAATTAGATAATCACTATTAATAATTCAAACATCAAAAAAGAGCAGTGTAAAGTAAATACATGTTACTGTCTATGCGAGAGCACAGGTGAAATATGAGCTTCTGGAAGTTGAGAAATGTGAATTCTTTGCAACTAAATTTAAAATTCAAGTTCCAAAACAACATACGCCTTGGGTTTCATTTAATAACATAGTTTCTAAGTGATGAATAGAAACATATAAGATGAAAAACTTATATTAAAAGACACATAAAAACCACACCTTCCCTCTACTTTTTCTTTGAGGATGTTCTAGAAATATCACTGCTTAAGGGACAAATCCGACTTCAGGTTCAGACATGCATGTTCTTAGAGTATAGGTATATAATGCTTCATGAAGTTAATGACATCTTAGTAAGTCATTTAATCCTAAAGTACATCTACCACCATCATATATTTTATAAATAAGCAAATATTTTAGGTAATTTGTAGTCACAATGAAGAAATATTAAGGTTACATTTCTCTAAATATTGAAATACTCTAGACACTTAAAATATTACTTACTAATTACTGTTACCTTCGCAATTTTAAAGAATTTTCCTTCGTTATCAAATGCAACAATCTAAAATGTTTCTATTAAGAAAAGCTGTAACATTTTCAAATCAATTTATAGTCCATCAAACTCTATACAGTTCTAATAAAATAAACAGAACTCTTTTGGAATATTTCAAATTTCAGTTAAATTTAAATTTTGGTTACCTTTTCCTTATTGGACATGGGATTTTTTCTTAAAGGTTTTATTTATTTATTTATTATTCCTGAGAGACCCAGAGAGAGAGGCAGAGACACAGGCAGAGGGAGAAGCAGGCTCCATGCAGGGAGCCCGATGCAGGACTCAATCCCAGGACCCTGGGGTCATGACCTGAGCCAGAGGCAGATGCTCAACCGCTGAGCCCTCCAGGTGTCCCTGGACATGGGATTTTCCAGACAGTATTTTCAGTCACCTCTAGTGATAATATAAGCTCTGTAATACCAGAGCAACCTTTCACTAGGAATTCCAAACCAAAAATGTGTACCTACCATGTTCCAGCCAGGGTAGAGATAGTCTGTGCCAACAAATTCAAAGTAGTGAGCAAAACCTTCCTTCAGCCACACGTCTTCCCACCATACAGGGGTCACGAGGTCACCAAACCACTGCAATTGAAAAATGAATGGGCATCAGATAAAATCAAAGTCATCCCAGAATTATTTTATCTAAAGTTAAAGGTATTAAACGATGACTATCAAAACTGGAATTCATTCCTCAGCAGATTTTGTGACCTTAAAATGTATTGTGGCAAGATTATTGGTTTATTGATTTATTCAACTACTTGGGAGACACTACTCTTTTTGGTTTTGTTTGTTTTCATAAATGCATTTAGGGAAGAACAAAAATATAATGATCAAGAAATACAAAAAGAATATTTAACCTGGAGAAGACAAGACTCAGAAGAAAAAAAAAATGATGACAGCTATTTTCAAATATTTGAAGGCCTAGTGTGCAGAAGAGGAAAAGACTTGTGTCTTGTGGCCCTACAAGGAACAAACAAGGGCTAATGGATGGAAATCAGAGTTGGTAGATGTCTGCTGAATATACAGGAGGCAGAATGAGATGGCTGAAGAAGAATAATACAGCCTTACGTTGTGAGCTACTTTGGAGCATTGCCTTGCAACAGTGCAGACAGCTCAGAGAAAACATTGGCTGATTGAAGGAACTGAGGGCTTTCATGATGCTCCACCCTTGAGTCTCTATGATCTTCTGACAATAAGGGGTTAGGTTAAAAAAAAATCCCTAGGGATGCCTGGGGGGCTCAGTGGTTGAGCATCTGCCTTCGGCCCAGGGCGTGATCCTGGAGACCAGGAATCGAGTCCCACGTCAGGCTCCCTGCATGGAGCCTGCTTCTCCCTCTGCCTGTCTCTCTGCCTCTCTCTCTGTGTTTCTCATGAATCTTCAAAAAAATCTCTAAATTCCTTCATGAAAAATAATGCTGTCATATTTTTTTTTGAGAGCGAGGAAAAAATAAAAAGAAAAGAAAAGCTAGTGGGGGTGGGGGATGAGAGGGAGAGAGTGAATCTTAAGCAGGCTCCAGGCCCAGCATGGAGCTGCACATGCAACTCAATCTCAACACCCTAAGGTCATGACCTGAACCAAAACCACGGGTCCAATGCTTAACCAACTGAGCCACCCGGGGTGCCCCAATAATGTTGGCAGGTTTAATTGGTGTTTTAATTAGATCGTGATGCACCACTCTGAAATCCTTCTTTAGTTCAGCAAAAAGTTAAAGAAAATCTTTTTTTTTTTATTAAAAATAAAAACAAAAATATTATATGCCCGGAGTGTTCCTAAAGACCTTGGATGTGATAATGAAAATTAGAATATGTCCCTCTGGGATGCCTAGGTGGCTCAGTAGTTTAGCGCTGCCTTCACCCCAGGGCATGACCCCGGAGTCCCGAGATCAAGTCCCACATCGGGCCCTGCATGGAGCCTGCTTCTCCCTCTGCCTGTGTATGTCTCTCTCTCTCTGGATCTCTCATGAATAAATAAATAAAATCTAAAAAAAAAAAAAAGAAAGAAAAGAAAAGAAAAGAAAATAAGAAAATGTCCCTTTTCATTGAGGTGTCAAGGAGGATGAGATGAGATACAAAATTAAAAAAAAAAAAAAACATAAGCAAATGAATGACACAATTTCAGATCCGATAAAACGTGTCATTTATTTTCAGGTTTTTTTTTTTCTTTTTTTACTAGAATCAAGATTGAAATTAGCATTGCAAAGTCTGTGTAATGGGGGAGGAGCCACCTTAGATCATCAAAGCAAGAATGTTCCGTCCCAGCCAGTGACATCGGAGCGGAGACTTCAATGCTAAGAAGGAGGCAGTCATGAGAAAGCCTTGGGAAGAAGGTTCCAGGCAGATGTAGGCAACACTGAGCGTGAAGCCCCGGGTGGGAATGAGACATTTAAGGAACGGACGGAGAGGCAGGCGGCGTGGGCTCAGGCCTAGCCCAGGAGCCCCGTGGAGCAGGCCTTGGTGCTCGAAGCCTCGCCACAGTCACCAGTGCCGCCTGCCCAAGGGGCTCCCTAACTGAACCACGAGGAAGACAGGAGTCTGGGTGGGTGACCAGCAAGCAGCTGATGTCTAAAATAATTGTTATTTTTTTAAGATTTTATTTATTTATTCATGAGAGAGACAGAGAGAGAGAGAGGCAGAGACCCAGGCAGAGGGAGGAGCAGGCTCCATGCAGGGAGCCCGATGCAGGACTCGATCCCAGGACCCCGGGGCCAGGTCTTGGGCCGAAGGCAGGTGCTCCACCACTGGGCCACCCAGGCTGCCCAGTAATGGTTATTCTTAATCAAAAACGCATGCTTCTTCCTTAGGCAGAAAACCCGTCTTCCAAACGGTGACCACACACGCAGGTGTGGGACAGGGCTGTGGAGGCGATTGTTTGGGAGCAGAGGGGGAGCTGTGGTCCCCCAGGCTCTGGCCCGCCGACCCAGGGGGGCGAACACGAGAGTAACACACGCCCATGAGCCGTGAAAGCAGCGCCAGGAGCCAACAAACACATCAGCACGAGCAGACAAGACGCTGGGGCCTTGGACGTGCCAGAGGGGAGCTCACCCTCCAGGAATCGCCAGGTGTCCCGGGAAAGCTGTGGCCAGCACAGTGGGGGGACCCTTCATGGCCCCGCGCTGAGGACGCGGCCCACCTGGCCGGCTGGCAGGTACAGCCAGGTGTCTCTGCAGGAGGCAGCCAGGGGGAGCAAGAGGTGTCCAGCAGATACAGCCAGGTGTCCCTGCAGGAGGCGGCCGTGTGGCCCAGGGCCAATCCATCAGTAAACCTCTGCTGGTGCGTTAGCAGTTGGCAGTTCATGTGCTTTCACCAACAGCATTTTCACACGGTTCCTTCCTGGAGTTTTTCTGGCTTTTTTAAAAAAAGGCTTTGGGTTCATACAACAAATGAAAGCCAGACAGTCTCACAACGAGATTTCCAGTGTCTTCACTTGAAACTACGTGGCTAAACCAGGACAAGGTTTGGCTGTCTATGAGCATGAACATTGATTTTCAGTGTTCTTTCTTTTTCCTTTTTTTTTTTTTTTACTAGAATGAAGATTCAAATAAGCATTGCAAAGTCTCCGTGATACCTTCCACTCATTGCAAGAAAGTGCATCAAAATCAAAATGAAATTAATTTTATCTCTGCTTCACTATAAAGTTGGCTAATTTACATAAGAATTTCTAAACATGCCAAACCAAATATATATATATATATTTATAAATAAATATACATAAAAATAAATATATATTTATAAATAAATATATATAAATATATATATCATTTGAGAACAAAGAGTCTATGGCTGAGTTAGGGAAAGACTTCCTAAGTGTCTATGTGATGGGAAAAAGGGAATAACAAATTGATTTCAGCCAAAGCAAATTTTGACACGTACACAAAACTCCGCTGCGTCTTGCAGCAGCGCAATACATCACTGCCATCACTGCACTTACCATATACACACACCAATAATCACAAGAAAATAAAGCAAGGCTGACACGGAATCGTGACTGGGCAGGGTCTCCAAGAGGCTGCTGGGTGGCGGTGCCATCTCACTCCTCAACGGAGCTGAGTGACAGGTGTTTAATCAATATCATCAGCGTGTTTGCTTTTGTCTGTGCTGTCCTCTGAGAAAAAAAGGACGTACCATCCAGAAGGAACTACACAGTGCTCTCCAGATAATTAAAACTTAATTGGGAGGATACTAATTTAGGTCCCAATCTAAGTATCCGAACTTATTCTGCATTCTCAACAGTGTGCAATTATACTTACACCTGATTCTTTTTTCTCATACCTGGTGACATATCTCATGAACAATGACCATGGTGACATCCAGTAAATAAGAAATAGATGAAACACTGGGATCCAGCAGTATTCTTTGCTCCACAAAAATACTTAGTCCCCAGTTCTCCATAGCAGCGTACGGATGCTTAGGCACAGCTAAAAGATCTAGAAATAGAATAAAACAATTCCAAAGGCTTTAACAAACATGCCGGATTCTAAATTCATATCCTAAGAAAGTCCAGAAATCCGAATGAATGGAAAGGAATATTTGCTCTCAGGAATTTTTTTTTTCTAAATTAAACTACCTGCCATTTCTACATGACAGCAGAAATATGGGCTATCCCTGTGCACGCGGGCCGTGTCCATTCATCACCGTTCATTTTCAGGCCTGGCGCTGGAGGAGGCTGGAGGTATCAGCACCATTATTGATGGGCCCATCCTAATAAGACTCAGGAAGTCAAGGAAACCAAATGCGGCAGAAATCTACCAAGTCAAAAGGCTTTGTGCCTTCTAATGAAAATATATTCGGCTCAATGCAGTGGATACTGTCCTCTTACTTTTACCTTAGATTTTCTTTTTTTTTTCCTGAGAGAAAACATCTTGTATCATTTAAAGATGTGATGTGTCATTTTTCTAATTGCATAGATTCTCCTTTATTTTTTGAGCTCTGTTAAAAATGAAACGTTGCATGCAAATACAGCTTAGAGACCAAACTGTAACAGGAGTCAGGGTGGCCAAATGACTACCGAGGGAACCTGCAGGCTCCGGTTCTGGTCCTGCCCTCCACCATTCACCAGATAGATGACCTCGGTAAATCACTTAATTTCTCCAGACCACAATTCCCTCACCTATAAAATAAGGTTATCGGCCTTCATTATCTCTGAGATCCCTTCCAGCTCCAAAAATCTATGATTAGATGATTCTAAGATGCGTGCTTGTTTTAAAAGGCTGTGAAGGTAACAGCAACTTCTGGTTAAGGTGACACAATAAGTTCATGCTTTGATGTACTCCCTCGGCTCCAAGCACAGAGCAATGATAAATAAAATATTAAAAGGGAAGACTAAAAAAAAAATATCTCCAGGCTTGAAAATAAACCTCTTCATGGATCAGAAATGGTACAGAAATGCAAAGCAGTGATTGCATGTGAGGCCACAGTCCTGCTGGGTTCTGGCTCCAGGGGCAGGCAGTGGCAGCTGGAAACTGGCTCCAGCAGGATCCACCAGGGCCAAAGGGACCTAAGCCAAGCTGACTGCGTGACGCCGGGGGTTGAGGCAGGGCATGCATGCTCATCAGGGCCGCAAATAGCTGCTGCTCACTGCTCCTTGGGAAAGCTGGGAAAGGAGTCGAACTCAGGCAGCCTGAGTCCAGGGCCTTCCTCTTCATGGCACTGAGATAATTTCTTCAGTCTCTGACCCAAACACTCCGTTGCCCAATATCCCTACAGTCACTACCTAGGATGCCCAGAAAAAAATGTCACCAGAGTGTTGGCTACAGTATTGTTTTTAAGAGTGAAAGGGGAGGGGCGCCTGGGTGGCTTAGCAGGTAGAGCATCTGCCTTCAGCCCAGGTCATGATCCCCCAGGGTCCTGGGATCCAGCCCTGCTTCGGTTTCCCTGCCGGAGGGGAGCCTGCTTCTCTCTCCCTCTGCCCCCCACCCCCAGCTTATGTGCTCTCTCTCTCTCACTCTCTCTCTCTCTCAAATAAATAAAATCTTAAAAAAAAGGGGGGGGGACCAAATGCCTTTTATCAAGGTAGTAGACAAAGAAACTCTAAGATAGCTAAAATAAAGCAACTGAAATACACAGTCTTACCCCTAGATTCTTACACTATATAATCTATATGGAAATCTGAAAAGCATAATGTTGAGGGCACAAGTAAGGTGTAAAATGACCTTTCCCGTGTACTACTTAAACAAAGAAGCAGAGTAATACCGTATGTTGAATACGGATACTCACACCTGCACACACATACCCAGATAGAGGGGTAAATGCACACGCAATCACACACGCGTAGCAATGATAAACACCAAATTCAGAAACATGACTGCTTCGGGAAAGAAAGGGCAGCAAGAGGATGAGGGCCAGTCTTTTAAGAGACGGATCCCACTTCAGCACAGGGTTGGGGCTGAGTCCCTTACCATCAAGCAACTCTGGGACACTGGAGCATATGAGAATTCATCTTCTCTACCCGGAGACAGCATTAAATTCCACGAGTTTCCGGCTGAGTCCTCCACGACCGCCCTGGACCCTCACTCAAGATGCTAGTCATAAAGCCAGGCCGTTCCCTATACTTGCAGCCGGCTGGCTATGCATCAGCGGCTCCCATGACCTCCTCCTCAAGTTCAGTTAATGTGCTAGAGAGTCCACAGAACTCAGGGAAACACTTGTACTTACTGGGTTACCAGCTTACTATAAAAGGATAGAACTCAGGAACAACTGGTTGGGAGCGATGCACAGGCAAGGTATGGACAAAGGGTGTGAAGCTTCCATGCCCTCTCAGGGTGCACCACTGCCCCCAAATCTCTATCTGTTCACTCCCGGAGAGGCCCTCTGAACTCCATTCCTTGGGGATTTCACAGAGACTTTGCAATGCAGACATAACTGACTAATCCATTGGCCGTTGGCAATGGACCTGGATCTCCAGCCCTTTTTCCCTCCCTGGAGGAGAGGGCCAGAGGGTAGGACGGAACTTCCCATCTCCCCAATCATGTGATTGGCTCCACCATGATCAGTTCAGCCCCCCTCCTAGGTGAGTTCCAAAAGTCACTTTATTAACATAACAAGATACTAACATTGACTAAGAGGAACTCAACAAAGACTCAAACCCTTATGAAATTCCAACGGTTTTGGAAGCTGTAAGCCGAACACCTTGTAGGAACACCAAATATATAGAGAAATACATATTTGGACATTCAGATGACCGAATAGATATTTCTTATTAATCACAGGGTCCCCTGGGTGGCTCAGTCAGTTAAACATCTGCCTTCGGCTTGGGTCATGAATCTTGAGATCCTAGGATAGCGTCTTCATTGGGCTCAGCAGGGAGTCTACCTCTCTCTCTCTCTCTCTCTCTCTCAAATAATTAAAATCTTTTTAAAAAAATAAAAATAAATCACAGTACTGCAGATGGTCATAAAAGGGATTTCAAATCTGTCTTTAATATTAATTTTCTTTAGGGATTCCTGGGTGGCGCAGCGGTTTGGCGCCTGCCTTTGGCCCGGGGCGCGATCCTGGAGACCCTGGATCGAATCCCACGTCAGGCTCCTGGTGCATGGGGCCTGCTTCTCCCTCTGCCTGTGTCTCTGCCTCTCTCTCTCTCTCTGTCTCTCTCTCTCTCTCTCTCTCTGTGACTATCATAAATTAAAAAAAATATTAATTTTCTTTAAAGCGGGTGATGGGTACATGGATATTATTTATAATATTATTGTTTCTTTTCTGTATGCTTTAAATATTTCATAATAAGAAAAAGAAAAGGGCAGCCCGGGTGGCTCAGCGGTTTAGCGCCTGCCTTCAGCCCAGGGCGTGATCCTGGAGACCTGGGATCGAGTCCCACATCGGGCTCCCTGCACGGAGCCTGCTTCTCCCTCTGCCTGTGTCTCTGCCTCTCTCTCTCTCTGTCTTTCATGAATAAATAAATAAATAAAATTTGAAAAAAAAAAGAAAGAAAAAGAATAAAACAGTCAGCAGTCTTACAGTTGATTGTCATTTATTCATCATTTCAATGAACATCTCATCATTTGCTATATCCTCAAGTCTAAGATATATTCAAATACATCAATATGATCCCATATCCACTACATTTTAATCTAAGAATGGGTACCTGACAGCGTTAATACTGGAGATAAAGAATAAGAAGTGCTGTGCACAAGAGGACACATCTGGTTGGAGAAGTTCTGAAAGAGTTAGTCTTTGAGTTGGACGTCAAAAGCTAATAGGATTCCAACAGGCAGTCAGAGGTACTACCTGCAGCCACTGCCACGAGTATTTATGGAATATCTCCTTCGCTCAAGAGAAGAACTGCCATGTCCTTTGAGCTCTCCTTGCTCCCTGCTCCAAGGGCATGTGGGCACGTGCTGGAGGATGGGCTCAATCAACAGAGTAAATGAAGGAAATTCAGTGAACAGTAAGTTCTGCAAAGACAACATGAGTAAGATGGTGATTGACTGATGGGGTCCGTGCCGTGTGGCCAAGGCAGGCCTCCTAAGGTGCTCACCTGTCACCCGACGTGTGAATAGCGTTAGAAGCCAGCTATCCAAAGACTTGTAGACGTATGTTCTAAGAAGGGAGGGCAGATGTAAAGGTCCCAAGGAGGAAATGAAACGGGTACACTGGACACATGGGAAGAAGGTCAGTGTGGCTGAAGGAGGTAAAGAAGGACAAATTGCAAATACATAACAAATAGACCTTCTCCTACTTAAGATTTTGAGACCTTCCCTAAACATGACCAAAGTAGACAAGAGAACCACACTGTCCACCACCAGCCCATTACAACAGCAGTAGCAGCCCGTCTGGTGTCACCGACGTGAAGGAACACATGGCTTAGGGACGACCCTCTGGACCACACCTACTGAAAACAGAGGCCCCTCTGTAAGCCGCATTCTCAGGGGTTGACAGTAGTCAGTCCCCAGAAGTACGTGAGCAGATGAGGCCCCGCGCTGGAATTTGGATCGGCTCAACTGGCACAGAGAGAAGATTCCTGACGTGAGGCAGACGCAGACTCTAGGAGTTTGTGGTAAAGAAGAAGGTACCCCGAGGAGCAGCGATCAGATGGCAAAAGACTAAGTGGCCGCACAGGGGTCTGGTGAGGGCACAGCTAAAGGTGGTGCCAAAGAAACCACTAATGGAGGCCTGGCTACCCGTGGGTTTCCAGACAGCAGAGGGCACAGAGGGGAGCCCTGGGTGATGAGGCCATGCACCAACCACCCCAGAACTCCTGAGCCAATGGAGCTGGACTCAGAAAAAGTGGCGGAGAACAGAGTAAAACACAGACGGCTCGGTAATAGGAGGCAGCTTCTCACACCCAGAAAGGCTGTATGATAGACACAGGGAACCATGTCAGTGGATAGCAGAAGGGGGGAAGTGGAGCTGAAACATTTAGGTGATGCCACTACCCACATGATGACCTAGTAGCGGGATATGAGAAGCTCGGGTTTTGTTCTAACAACCA